CGTTTGTAGCGACTCTCGCCTCTTCATGACAAATTCGACTAGGTCTTCAAAAACTGCGGAGCGCCCATGAGTTTCTACGAGATCATCGACGCGCCTGCGCCATCTATTTCGAAGTAGGCTAGGGAGTTTTTCTGTAATATTCCGTAGCGATCGCGGATCACTAATTAAATGGGATGCATTTCCCAATGCATTTTTACAGCTCATCAGAAGAAGCGCAAATTTGTCCAAATCTTCACCATTTCCAAAGTCCATTCGTTCTTCGTCATGAATTTTATCCATGAACGCCGCTGCAATAGTGCTCGGCTGACCATAACGTTCGCGTAGGATTTGCATTGCCTGCTCATAGCCGTCCTCAATATACAGGGTGTCCCAAAAATAATGTCACACCTTTCCATCGACAATTTCATGAAAATAACAAACATGAGAGGCGCGCTTTTCTTACATATGCATCCCACCTTCTCCCTGATGCAGGCAAGCATACGGTCCGGGACATCAGACATCAACATGTCTAGCTTCTGTGGACTGATCTTGGACCAGATAGATCGAACCACAGTGTATATAAATAGATCGAACGTTCCTGGTCAGCGTGCGTTCAGGTTATCCTGGCGCCGTTTTGCTCACCTCTTACACAGGACGGTCGCCCAAAGATTTTCTATCGGCGACAGGTGGGGCTATTCACCGGCCATTTGTCCTTCTTCCAGAATGCTGGGTAGTTCGATTTGTACCAGTCCTTCGTCGTTCTATCTCGATGAGCCGGGGCGCCGACTTGTTGAAAGCGAGACCGTATGTTGAAAGATGGCCCTGGACATGTTCAGCAGAAGTTTTCGGCTGGAAACGTGGCTTGTTGGGCTTCAGCTTTAGAGACATCCTCCGGTATCGATGGATTATCAATTTGAAGAATGGATGACTGTTGGCAATCAGCCTCCTTGCCTGTTTCCTTGTCGATAATCCCGTCTTTAGCTCCGCACTTCGCGATGACGATCTGCGCTATACCCGGCTGGCGGAAGTCTTCCTGCCGCGACCTAGCTTGTTCCCAGGCGTAAATTCGTGGCTAGAATGTAGCGTATATGGTCTGGGAGCCAGTACCGGTGAAATTATATTGATATTGCGCAGTAGAAGGCAAAACAAAGGTTGTGGAAGGGTGGACATTAATTTTTGGACACCCTGTACATACAACTGGCAACGATAGTGAGCGGTTTGCTTGCACCAACTAAATTCTGTTCCCAGATAATGCAGCTTTTCACTGTCGTCTTCTAGCTTAGACGCCATCTTCATCTCAAAACTGTGAATAAATTGTGCAAACTGAGTAATGTCACCGCCAAATTTCTTAATTTCTATAGGAGGAAGACGCATCAATGCTGACGTTTTTTTCTCTTTCTGTCTTCAGCTCAGAATGCACATCATCTCGAGAACCTTTTAGATGCCGTTCGTTCAGCGGTAAATGGAGGCTGGGCTGTGAGCCGAGGGCCATATCTGTCTGCGTTATGTGTGACTGTTGAATTGGGCACTGTGTATGTGTATGTGGTTGGTTGGCTGGTGCTGGGCTTACGCCGCCATTTTGACTCACACAAGCCTTCCGTCCCGCGCCTAGATTCGAACGCACGATCTTTGGATCACGGTGCAGGCATCCTAACCACTACGCTACCGCGGCGGGGCTGCGGCCGGCGGAAGGGAGACTGCGGAGGCATGGGGGCTTTTTTACACATTTTCGGAAAAACTTAATGGGTTTAGTGAAAAACTGATCTCAGATAATTCGAAGAAAAATGTCTCGTCTTTCAGATGATGCACCTAGTTTTGTGCTACTTTTTTAGCAGTTAGTTCTACAGTGCTTCAAAAATCGCCCATTTACATGGGACTCAAACGGGACGTAAGACTTGCTCCCAGATGACGTCACGATCAGGTAGAATCGCCGGACGACCCTCTCGTAAGTCGTATATAGGGCCTTGGGCCTATATGCAGGTGGCTCGATCTTGCTGGTCGAGTTCAAGCCTTCCCTGCAGTGCGACGACTTCGTCCGCGTGGAGGAAGTTGTGCAAAATGCACGTGGCGTGCACGATCTTGCAGACGTGCTGGACGTTTACGTTCATTGGCCGACGATACATCCGCCAGGTTTGTGCGAGAATGCCGAAAGTGTTTTCCACGATGCGACGAGCCCGCGAGAGGCGGTACTTCAATACCGTGGCTCGGACTTCAAGCATTGCCTCTGTACGCCCGGGATACGTCTAACGTCGTACGGCCGCATGATAGCGGTGGTGAGCGGGAACGCCTCGTCGGCGATGACGACGTGCGGCATGATAGCGTTGGTCCCAGGCAGGGCTTAGGGCGGCGGCAGCTGCAGAGAGTCGTCTCGGAGGGCGGCGGTCAGGTCGCTGCGGCGGAATACGCCGCCGTCCGATTCCCTGCCGGCTCTTCCCACCGACACCAGGGGGATGTCGTCCCGGTTTTCCCCATGTATTATTCGCCAATCAGCTTAACACTACCGGTGACGTCACTGGTGGATCGCCAATCGGGGCCGGCCGACCGGCCGGCCTAGCCCGTAGAAGGTCAAACGCAGACGTTTTCAGAAAAGCGTAAGCCTTTTCTGAATGTAAGACTATAGGTGCAGTCGCGGATGGAGTTTTGCTGTGATTCGGCTCTCCAAGAGTGCGTCAGCGGACCAGGACCCGGATAAAGGTCATAGTGAACCGGCATCTGATAAAATCCGCTCACGGCAGCATCCGACTTCGACCCTTCGCCCTCGTAAAGCACAAAACCTTGCCGGTCATCAATCCACCTTCATCTCCTCATCTGCTTAATGCCTATATCGACCAGTTACTGCCAGTTTTGGAACGGCTCACGGCCGATAACACGACGGGCGTACGCTAGCCGCCGGTGCTTAGCGTTAAAGGAAATAGTTCACTTTCACGAAATTATTTTTTTTTGCAATGGATTTATGATTTTTTATGTTCAAAATGATCAGCAAAGAAAATAAAACCTATTTATAACAAAAGATTATTTTCTATATTTTGATATAGGAAGAACTTTTCAGTTTCTGTAAGGCACACGCGATCCAGTATGAAAAGAGCATGGGTCCCGAAAATTCTTCAGAAACTAGAGAAATTATCGCGGCCACCGGTATTTGGGCGATCTGCTGCTGCTGAATGTCCTTATTGATCAGTACGAGAATTTCTCTAGAGTTCTCGTAGATAATTTCTCTAGTTTCTGAAGAATTTTCGGTACCCATGCTCTTTTCATACTGGATGGAAATATATGCAAGGCACACATCCTCAACGCAAGACACCTTTTTCGGGACGAGAAATAGAATATCTTTGCCTAGGGTGATCGTTGGGCTGTAAAAGCTCCTGATTTATGCTCGTCTCAGCCCAGGCTACGGAACTGCTATTCCAGTTCAAAACCCATGTTAAAAAGTGAACTATTTCCTTTAACCATTGAGTGCGCACTGCGCGTGGCCGACTGCCGCCCCGATGGCGCTGGCCCCCGGCACCGACACCGGCGCGGCGCCGCTGACCCATGGGGGGGGGCTGCTAATTAATTAGTTGAGCCGGAATTGGGATAGAAGCCGGTATGGGATTGGGATAGAAACTCAGCGAGACTAAGGGATTGTGTTGTGCCTTCGGTAGGCCCCCAAAAATCACCGGTGTAGTGCCCTCAGCCCTCAGGGCCGCCGGTTATGAAGCCTTTGGAGGCACTGCTGTGAGCCCTCACAGGTAGGTACCGGTGTGAGACCCTCGGAGGCATTGGTGCGGGGCCTCAGATGTACCGCTGTGGGCCCTCTGAGGTGCTAGTAGGTGGCCCTCAGAGGCGCTGGTGAGGGTCCTCACAGTTGCCATTGTGGGCCCTCAGAGACACTGCAGTGTGGGGTCATCACAGCCGGGTGTGGGACCCTTAGAGCCGCTGGCTCGAACCCTTTATAAGCCGACAGGGGCTCTCAGAGACCGACAAAGGGCCCTCAAGAGGTCTGTGATGTCTTCAGAAGCCCTGTGGAGTCCTCAGAGACCAGCAAGGTACTCTCAGACGCCGGTGGGGACCCTCAGAGTCGTCGGTGTGGGGCCCTCAAAAGTCACCGGTGAGTGGCCGTCCGATGCGAAGGTCCCGTCTTAGGCCGTCAGAGGCTCCGGCGTTGAGTCCTCAGAGCCGCCGATATATGGCCTTAAGAAGCACTGGTTTGGGCCTTTGGAACTTCATTCAGGGGTACCGGTTGAAATCAGAGGTGGCAGTGTGGGGCCCTCAGCTGGGCACCGGTTTGGGGCTTTCACAGCCAACGGTGAGGGCCCTCGCAGGCGCCGTTGTAGGGCCTTCAACCATTGGTTTAGGGGGTCATCACAGGCGTGTGTGGAACCCTTACAGCTGTTGGTCCCTGATAGGCCGGTAAGGGCCCTCAGAGGCCGGCAAGTAGCTCTCAGAGGTCGCCAATGGGCCCTGAGAGGCCGGCAAGGGGCCCTCAAATGCCGACAAGGAACAATACAAAGCCGGTGTGTGGCTCTAATGGAGAGAAGTGTGGCTATTCGGAGCACATAAGGTGTTCTTTCGAGCTCTGTGGGGCCCTTCTGAGTCGAAAATGCCAGCTTGGACACTCAGTCGCCAATTGGCGTCGCAGGGCCCCTCGGGCCCGAGAGGCCCCCTGATCCGATGGGGGCACGTGCCCCCTGCCCCCCCCCCCTCCGGGCGCTGATAGAGTCAGAGAATGCAATCGGCGGTGCGGGACACAACAATTGCAATCGTTCCTTCTCCCGTCGAGAGGTCGCCCATCCGACCCATATCCCAAGATTGTCAACCCTGGGGCTCGGGTCGGCAATGTATCGGCAAGGAAATCAGCTTTAGGTGGGTAAAAAAGTTATTAAGAGTCATTAGTTGTCGTTTCGTTCAGTAACAACAACGATAAAATGCCAAATGTACCCGACGTACGGCTTGGAGCCGGGCGCCGCGCGGTCTCCACCAGTGACGTCACGCTAATGCTTAGCGACCGGTCCATTGGAAAATGCGGGATGATTCTACCTCTCTTATACGGCCTTGACCGACACGTACACGAATCGATAGTCGCCGTCCACGGCGGCCAGAACAGTGCTGAAGGTGTGCTTATAGTTGTAGTACTCACTTCCGGTGTTGGCTGGCGCCTGCAGGACGACATGTTTTCCGTCGAGTGCTGCCACACAGTTTGGGAAGTTCCACCGGTCTCGGAAGGTGGCCTCGCTCCTCTCCCAGGTGCGGCGAGTAGGGGAGGCCAACACCTCCGGACCGACGGCGGCGATGATCGCGGCACACGTGTCGTAGACTATGGGGCGGACCGTCTTCTCTCCCAGGCGGTACGTGGGAGCCAGAGCCGAAAACTCCATTCCTGACGCCAGGTACCGAAGCGTAACGGCCAGGCGCTGCGCGGCGTCGATGGGCTCTGAAGTTGGTGTGTTTTATAGTGATAGTTGACCCGATCTTGCTTAGAAGAAGCTCAAAGGTGAAAGTGTTGCGGGCCATCCGGAAGTAGGTGCGGTGCCATTCAGGATCGCTGGTACGCAGCTCTTGAACGAGGTTGAAAAATTCACCCTAAGCTCAGCGGCGGCGGTTCACATCAGCGACCCAACCCTTGTGCCGACGTTTCGGACGGCACTCCTCGTCATATTCAATCATTAATAGCTCGGCTTGGGCCAAACTTAAGCCGACGTCCATTCTCGATATATAAAGTATAGAAGCAATAACAAGAAAAGGTACTACCTGAGATGTTTTGCTTACATTTGTTTTCCTGACGGCGGTATTTGCTTCGTATGTAACCCAAGAGTATCAAAAAAATGTCGCGTGCTTATTTTCGAAGGATTTTATTTGTTAATCTGTTGCATGGTTTACCTACTGAATTATTTTGTTTTATATTTTCCCTACATAATTATCATTCTATGACTTCAGGTGGCTTGCGCACCCTATACTAACAAAATACTTGATACTATAGTTCGTTTTTTTTTTCAAAAGGACGCTGGCTCCAAGTACCTAGATTTTTCGAACATGCACGTGTTTTAGCGAGCAAAACGGGCAAAAACTGAACCTGAGAAACTCGAACGTCGCCTTATTTTAACATGTGAGTTATTCCCGATAAATTCCATGCCTGCGTTTTGGAACTAGACATGAAAACAGTGGTGACGTCATGCTGTGGGACTTGCATTGGAATGCAATGCATAACTATCATGGAAAGGATCGCTTACTCGATTCGGGCCTCGGTAAGAGCAAAAAACGAAGTTTTCCCAAAATTCGCAGGCAATGCATGCTTTCGTACGGACATTGGGTGCCAGCTGCCACCAGTGACGTCATCATAGTATGCTTATTTTTGAAGTCACAATTTCCATGTATTTACCGAGCACAATTTGAAATCGATCATTTTTTCGGCAAGAAATTCCTAGCCAGACGCTGAAGTTGCTAAAACTCACGTGATCGAGCTTCGATAATGAACTTTGAGCCAGCGTCCTTTTGAAAAAAAACAACTATAACTAAGCGCGTACTTTCAGCGCCTCTGCCAATGCTTTTGTGCAGTGGACGGCGTCAATTTAATGTCGCCGTCCACTGCACATTGGCATCCGCCGAAAGTAAGCGTGCTATCGTCGATAAACGCGTATTTCCGGCGTTTGCTGAAATGACTCCGTCCACTGCACAAAAATATCAGCAGAGATGCTCGAAGCGCGGCTCAAAGGACCCGCCAGTCGAGGCCGTATACAATAGAAAGGAAAAACACAATCACTAGCTCGCCTGCCCGTCCAGTTACTTCGTACTAACCACGGTGAGTCAGCTGCCTCTGACAGCTACGTAACATGTTACGAAGGCACCAAAACTACTTCGTAAATGTTCAAATGGTTGCTAAATTCGAATTCCGCTCCAAAAACTAGCCCAGAAACATGTAAAACTCGAAAAAGTGAACCGAGGTCATCAAAGGTCAGTGACCTGACCTGTCCTTGACACCCACCCTAGTGTATGGGACCAACATCATATCACATGTTTGAACGTTTGAAACCACGAAAAGACGGCAAACGCGCGGCTAATGCGGGATGACATACGCCAAATCGCTATTACGGCCAAACATTGTCTCGAAAGATAGGTCACAGTTCAAAGGTCATTTGGGTCAGGGTCATGAAATTTTAGGGGTAGGTGTAAAATTGATCAACCCGAAGGTACTGAAAGGTTCGTCGTGATCGGCCGCTTTTTACGCGAGTTATTTGCGAAAAACCTTAGGGGGGGGGGCTGCATCAATCCTGTGCCAGCGAGGGTTAAAATAAACCAATGACGTTCATTTTTTACCACTTGTGAGCGCAACTTTCGAAACAAGAGTGTTTTGACCGATAACATCATCCTATTCCACAGCTCTGGCTGCTCAGGCGTCATGAGCTAGTGACGTAATCTCATGCATTGGATATGTTACGGGCCAAGTGCGAAGGCTAGTCCGTTTGCGAACGGACTAGTCCATTCGCGAATGGACTAGGCCGTTTGCGAATGGCGGTCCGTTTGCAAACGGACTAGTCCGTTTGCGAATGGCCGGCCATTCGCGAATGGCCGGCCATTCGCGAATGGCCTAGGCCGTTTGCGAACGGACGGGTTTGTGGCGTTGCACTTAGCCGCCGGAAGCATGGATCCTCGGATTGGGGTACGATTCCGAATGAATGGGGGACCGCTGGTCGATGCAGGGGCGTCGCCAACGGGGGGGGGGGTCGGAGGGGTCCGGACCCCCCCCCCCACACACACACACATTCTTGAAAATATGCCGGTCCGACGCCCCCCCCCCCCACACACACACACACTTTTGGCCACGAAAATCGATCAAGAATAATATAAAATATTTTAAAAACGATTTTGGTGTATTCCCAAAATAAAATTGTGTAAATCCGAGGAGCTTTCAGTATTTGGTGGGGATTACTTTGACTGACCGTCCGACCAGATCCCCTAGTCGAAAATCCGTGGCGACGCCACTGCGTCTATATGTTTAGTTTGTTCTCCGGAGCAGATCTGCGAGCTGGCGCAACTCTGGGTTAAGGTCTCCACACACCTGGTCCATTCGGGATGCGACTTTCCGCTGAACCCTGCACAACGCGGAAATTATAGCAACGTGTTGCCGCTGGCCAGGCTTCGGCCACCGATCTGGATCTGGGGAGGTCAAACATCCCCGTGACCTTCGAACAGCGGAGAGTCGCGTGGTGTGCGGAGACCATTAGTACCGTGCTCCGGGCTCCCCGCTGATGACCCGACCTGACCTTGGTCGAGTTTGTGGCGCTCGATTCATTCTGCTCTGGTGTGGTGTACCGGGACGGTGTGGCTTGTGTGTGGTGACTGCGGTGCGGTGTGTTCGAAAAACTGTTGTGTTGCATTGCTTTTAACAATACGCGCACTGCAGGGGGGGGGGTTGCTTTCAACCCCCTGTGGTTTTTCACAGATCACGAGAAAACGGCGGCGCGCAGCAAAGCCAAATTTTGTATACCTTTTCTCCCATATTCTGCGCATGTTGTGTGAAAATGCTGACTCGAGATGACCTAAGGTCAGGTCACCAGGCCAGGTTAAGTGACGACACCTCCGAAAAAGTTTGCACTTGCACCAAAGCTACAGCTGTTGAGCAATCGATATGAAACTTTCAGGATGTAGTAAGGGTGACACTGACCCGGTTTCCATGGGCACTTTGAGACTTAGCGGATTACGGGAGGATTAGGGTTATAATTCCGACTCGTACTCACGGAACCCATGTTTTTAAGTGGATTAGGGTTCGAATGCCTCCGTTTTATCGGCTGAGAATAAAAAAGTATCGGAAATTACGGAAAGCAGGCTGTAATCGCACTAATCCTTTATTTCACTGATCCGATCAGTGAAATAAAGGATTAGTGCGATTACAGCCTGCTTACCGTAATTTCCGATACTTTTTTATTCTCAGCCGATAAAACAGAGCCATTCGAACCCTAATCCACTTAAAAACATGGGTTCCGTGAGTACGCCGTACGGGTCGGAATTACAACCCTAATCCTTCCGTAATCCGGTATGACTCAAAGTGTCCATGGAAACCAGGTAAGTATGTACAAAACGTATATCTCTGATTTGTTATATTCGTGACCTGAGGTCAGGTCAATTTCACGCTCTCCCCATTATATCTAAGTCAATGGGAGAAACATCAACTTACTCAGAATGCCATCCTATGACTTCAATATGCTCGCCTCAGGATCATGGTATTGCAGGTCCCTGTTGGTGATTCCGCCGAAACATATCACTTGTGACCTTTGGAAGGTGATCTCCATGTCATCCGAGGTTACCTGCGGTCACCAACTGGTTTTCTTCAATAACTCTTGATTGAATAGAGATAGAGACTTCGTTCGACGTTTATCGCGGTTTTACGCCTCCCCCCCCCCGTCTAACTCGACTCCTGAGCGTCGTAGCGACAAGCGGTAGGCGGCATTCGAAAGAGCGGTACAAACTAGTAAGAAAGTACTTGTGTCATTTTCGGTCAGGTCAAAAACTAGGTCACCAGAGGTCACCGAAGAAAAAATGTTCGTTTTTACTTCTGATAGTTTTTCTTGAATAACTTTTGATCCAGAGAAGATAGAGGATCGATTCAAACGCTATCGTTCTTAGCTCGTCAAGGCGCATCGAATGGTGTATAATATGACCTGGAAAGGTCAAGTTAAAAATTTGACTTTGGGTCAAGGTCATGACCTGACCGAAATAGGTCATGTTGCAGATCGTTCGTGTTTGTCTCGTCAATAAAGATCGAATGATAGGCAACATGACCCATTTTGGTCAGGTCATGAACTTGACCGGAGGTCAATTTTTCAACTTGACCTTTCGAGGTCATATTATATATCATTAAATGCGCCTTGACGAGCTAAGAAGATGGCATTAGAATTGTTCCTCTATCTTTTCTGGATCAAAAGTTATTGCAGAAGAACTACTGCGAAATTTCCGTTGTGAAAACCGTAACATTTTACTTTCGGTGACCTCTGGTGACCTCGTTTTTTACCTGAGACAAAAGTGACCTGTGTATTTCCTCTAGATAACATCTCGACCTATCCAACGTCGTTTACCGCTTGTCGCTACGTTGCGCCGCTTTTTTTGTAAGCACGATCAAAATGCATTTGGGATGCTGACATTTTCAACATTTGAGCTGCAGATGCAGCCTCAACAGAATTATTGCCATGAAGGTTGCCTCGTTCACAGAAAAGTTATTTTCCGGTTGAGTTACCAATACTTTGCACGCATCATTTCACACGAGACTTTGCACATGCCAAGTTGACTTGCCAAGTTGACGTCATTTTGCTGGATATTTCGCACTTGGCCTGACTTCGCATTTGGACTGGGAGCATAAACGCCCGTCCATTCGCAAACGGCCTAG